TTACCAAGTTCAGCCACTGGAAAAGGAAGGAAGAGACTACATATGAATTTAACAAGCTAATGCATTTGTGAATTCAAGATAGTATGGGAGGGTAGGACATGAGAACTTATGGATACGTTAGTTGTGCATATCCAGTTGATGTCATGGATACGTAAGTGTGGTTATGTTTTAGTCTAGAAACAGAAAATGGTCCCTGTAGTGTACTTAATGAACACTAGAAGATACAAACATTAGTTTTACCTTGTGAACCATGATGAACAGGGTAATATATATTGGTTGGTCGCATGAGCATGTCCTTCAGCCTTAATATATGTTCATTGCGATACACCTGCACAACGATGTCACATGCACGTTAACAAAAACAGAGGCTGTGTTCATCTAGCTGATTATAACTTTCTATATTTAGGTCATTAGTCATCCTATTATGAACAGTGTAATCGATATAGTTGTGCACAAGAAAGATAGCACTGTGAGATGTTTTACAGCAACTGCGTCGATATGAATATGTTTTACACTATTATGCATCATGCATACACTATTACGCGATTATCTATTTATGGTAATAAGAGTTTCATTTCTGAAAACCCACTTCATGTTAAGCAGCAGGTATTGATGATATCACCCCTTCACAGCCCGAAGCATTAGGTTCAGACGGTTCACATCCAGGTATGCATCCGTGCATCACCATATAAACTCTATGAACAGAAAATAGACCCGGTAGTGTACCCAACGAACACTAGAAGATACAAACATTACCTTTACCTTGTGAACCATGATGAACAGGGTATTATATATTGGTTGGTCGCATGAGCATGTCCTTCATCGCTAATATATGTTCATTGCGATACACCTGCACAACGATGTCACATCCACGTTAACAAAACAGAGGCTGTGTTCATCTAGCTGATTATAACTTTCTGTATTTTAGGTCATTCGTCATCCTATTATGAACAGTGTAATCGATATAGTTGTGCACATTAAAGATAGCACTGTGAGATGTTTTACAGCAACTGCGTCGATATGAATATGTTTTACAATATTATGCATCGTGCGTACACTATTACGCGATTATCTACTTTTGGTAATAAGAGTTATATTTCTGAAAACCAACTTCACGTTAAACAGCAGGTATTAATGATATCACCCCTCCACAGCCCGAAGCACTAGGTTCAGACGGTTCACATCCAGGTAAGCATCCGTGCATTACCATATAAACTCTATGAAAAAGTCTACCGTGAACAACATATGTTTTACACGATTATGAATCGTGCGTACACTATTACGCGTTTATCTACTTTTGGTAATAAGAGTTTGACTTCTGAAAACAAACTTCATGTTAAGCAGCAGGTATTGATGATATCACCCCTTCAAAGCCCGAAGCATTAGGTTCAGACGGTTCACATCCAGGTAAGCATCCGTGTATTACCATATAAACTCTATGAAAGTCTACTGTGAACAACATATGTTTTACACTACTATGCAATGTGCGTACACTATTACGCTATTATCTACTTTTTGGTACTAAGAGTTTCATATCTGAAAACCAATTTCATGTTAAGCAGCAGGTTTATATGATATCACCCGTTCACAGCCCGAAGCATTAGTGTTGGTCCCAAAAGGGTCTACAAGAATACTAAACAGTTTGTAGAAGGGGGGGGGATGAATACAAACACAACGTTTTCAAATTTAAAATATATATTG